GAGGCAGAGAGAGAAGCAGGCTCCCCGCCTAACAGGGAGCCCGATGTGGGACTCGATCCCAGGACTCTGGGATCATGACCTGAGCCAAAGACAGACGCTTAACCATCTGAGCCACTCAGGTGCCCTCCCTAGCAAAATTTAGAGACAATTCTCAGAAAAGATCCTGAAGTTCATGTTTCCTTATAAATACGTTTTGTGTTTTGACTTACAGTCTTCTTCCAGAAAGAACCTGTCTGCCTCTTGAGGATCAAGATGAATTTCTCATTTTGCAGGAGACTGCTGTGGTCTATAGCTCCCTGGGAAACAAAGCAGTTTTATTTTGCCTATGTCCAAATAATTCCCCAAAATATCACATTGCGAGTGTGTGTTTATGGAGGTCATGGCTCAATAAGGTGTTCAGGACAAAGGGGATGGATCTTGGGGTGATCCTATTTTACAAGGAGCTTCGAGTTTGGGGAAAATAGCCACCTCCAATTGAATTCATGAAGAAATTCTTTGAACCACGGAGTGAACCAGTTGATATCCATATCTCTGTGACCTTGAAATTCCCAAACAGGTGGATCTTGAATGGAAGCCCACCATAGTTATGACTTTTGGTATCTTTATTGTGGGCAAGGACAGTATTTTTAGAAAATGTCTATTAGATGCCAACCCAATTTCATATCCACACATCTGGATGTTAATCTATTTCTTAAAAGTACGTGAAGTCTCCACTTTTATTTCTACTAATGTAGATGTGAAAAAAATTCATGAGGTCTGAAAATACTGACCCCCATGCCAACATGTTCTCAGTCATTCAATGCTGGGTGTTGACACTTAGATATCAGGACTACCCAGTTTACCACAATCCCCACCATTCCTATTGTCCCTGTCCCAAAGATAAGGGTCAGTTGGAATTTACTATCACTCTGGTGCTATTGTTTCCTTATACCTGAGTTAAAAAGAAAGCAAATGATTTCTTGTGCCCAAATATCATGAAAAGTGAGGTGACAAAATGTAGCAAAGTCCACATCTTTGTGAAATGAGTCTCGTTCAATATGCTAGTTGTGAAAAACAAGCACGTCTGTTTTTAATGAATACAACTTGAAACCCCATTATGAGCCAAATCCGTTCTGCTTCATTTTATGTGAATAGCTTAGCTCCATAAAATATTTAGTATGAGCCCAAAATAAAGTAGTGCTATTGTCAGCAATCTGTAGATGAACAAATGGAGGTTCAGAGAGGTTAATTGGTTGTGGAAGGTCACACAGCTAAAAGAAAGCCATTTCCAAGATTCCATGTAGGTCATTCTAGTGTAAGAATCTGCCTATAGAAGGCTGACCAGAGGGAAATCCTTGTGTGTGACCTGAAGGTGAATATTTTCAGCAGAAATCCCCTAGACCAGGAATTCACTCTTTACCAGCCTTTCAGAGCCTATGGATTCCTCTGTCCACATAGTAACTTCAGGTGCCTCTGTGAAAACAGACTCGGAAACCAAGATGGCTTCCCCAGCTTCAGTCAATCATTCACAAACATTTCTTTAGAGAGACAGTAGGAACGATCAGACAGTGCATGTGGGTAGTCCCAGTGTTCAACTCTGGACGCCTCCTCCTCCCAGCTCTGTGACTTTGGACAAGCCCTGAATATAATAAGCTCCAATTTCCATCTGTAAAATGATAGGAACCCTAGCTACCATGTCGTGGGGTGAGTGTGTTGGGAATTCAGGGAGAGCTTTAGGTAAAATAGGCAGCCACAGGGCTTGGCAGCTATGATAGTTTTGTTATTGTTTATAACCCCACAGATATTCCTGCTGGGGTCCTCATCCCATCAAGGAGGGTCTTTGCAAGGCTGAGCTGTCCTCTTATCCTGGCCACTGGGGGAAAGAGAAGGACTTGAAGGAAACAAGTATAATGCCCTGCCTATACCTCCTCCCACAGGGTTACACCAACTACTTTCCATCCAGGAACTGGCTCCCTCCCAAGGGGTATGACTGGGAGGAGTGTGATAAAGATAGACAGGTGTGTGTGTTGTAAAATCCATCTGCCAGGGCTTCAATAAAAAGGGCCTTCCCTGCCTGGCACAGCAGATGAGACAGCTGTAAGCCTGCAAGCTCACTCTCACATCTGGGATTACACTGGATCTGCATACTCAGAACAAGGTAAGAGTCTGGCTCTTCTAAGAGTTCCATTCCCCACCTTTCTTCTCACTCCCCTAAGGACTTCAGGATCCTATCAGGGACACGTGGGGGCTGAGTCTCAGTGCCCTGATGAACAAGTGGGTCTTCACATGGTGTATCTAGGCCCCCGTCCACCCTTCATTGAGGAGCCCACTGTGACTGTCTGTCTCCCTTTCTCAATTCTGAGGAGAGGCCACAAGCCCAGAGTGGAAATAAGATCTGGACCATTTTCGGGGCGCCTGGGTGGCTCAGTCGGTTGAGTGACTGCCTTCGGCTCACGTCATGATCCTGGAGTCCCGCATCGGGCTCCCTGCTGGGCGGGGAGTCTGCTTCTCCCTCTGACCCTCCTCCCTCTCATGCTCTCTGTCTCAAATAAATAAATAAATAAATAAATCTTAAAAAAAAAAAAAAGATCTGGACCATTTTCTGGGCCTGCCTCTTATACAAGCAAAATCTATATTTCTTTTAAAATGGAATACTGACAGAATCATCTTATCATGAACTATACCAAATAAAACCCTGAGTAGTTCATAACTTTCTTATTTGTTGTCAGTATTTTCCAAAGGACAGAGCAAAGTTGAAATGCAAGAGATGAGCACAGTTGGTGGTATAAAAGACCAAAGAGATAAGTTCTGGCTCCTTTCCCAGCTTTGTTCACTTTGCATAGTCAAATGGTATGACCTCCCCTCCTTCATGCCTTTCCTTAAGCTCTTACTGCACTCCAAATGGCCCCCTCACAAACCCATCTATCTCAAAGTGTCCAAATCCCACACGTGTTGAACGTTGGGTCAAACATCACCTTTCATGTCATTTGCCATGTCCTTTCTCATTATGTGGTCACCTGAGTCCATGTGGCACTGGATTAGAAATCCAGCACATGGAGCTGGAGGAGACTTTGTCAATTATCACACCTAACATCTCGATATCCAGGGGCACTGAGGGGAGAGTGACTTGGCCAAGATCAAGTTGGGGACAGAATTGGGACAGACTCCTTGTCAATGCTATTTAAATTCCCCCCAAAGTTTTTTCTAATCTTTTTAAGATGTGACCTACTCATTCACATTGATATATCCAACATCTAGTCTAGTGCATGGTATATAGTAGGTGTTCCATAAATGCTTGTTTAATTAGTAAATGAAGGAGTGAGTGAGCAAATGCAGGAGTAAAGGAGTAGTGAATGAGGGATGAGAGCTTATTTGGCTCAGAGAGTGGTGAAGGAATGGAGAAAGAGTAGGAGGTTTTTAACATTCAGCACTCAAGTCAAGGAGAAATGTGAATAGATGGGCTGCTGGTCTAGTAATTCCAGGAGCCAGAAGGATTCTTGATCTGATCTCACTTCTAAGCAAGGAGGCATATGTCAGTGTAGAGGGAGGGTCATCCTGCAGCCCTGTATTGCTGAACTATTGCCCAGCACTGACTCACCTGCTCTTGTCAAACAGGTTTCCACCAAGCTGAAGCCATGAGGATCCATAGCCTCACCCTGCTCTCCTTCCTTTTTCTGGCTATTGCGGTGTCATTGGTGAAGGGCAAAAAGGAAGTAAAGAATAGACATGTCAGCAAAGGCACCAGAGATAAATTGCATACTCTGGGAGACACCCAGATTGAACCACCCAAACACCTGGCCAAAGGCAAGTTTGTCACCCAAGACCATGCCAACTGCAGATGGGTGGTGACTGAGCAAGAAGAGGGCATCACCCTGAAGGTTGAGTGCACCCGACAGGACAACAAGTTTTCCTGTGTCTTTACTGGCAATCCAACTTCCTGCCTAGAGTCAAACAAAAAGAATGTCTATTGGAAACAAATTGGTCGGAACCTGCGCTCTCAGAAGGTCATCTGTGGGGACCCCAAAACTGTCCTGAAAACCAAGGTGTGCAGAAAGAAGTTTCCAGAATCCAATTTCGAGCTGGTGAACTCCACTCTGATTCAGAACAAGAAACCCAGCCAGGAGTTAACAGAGCCCTCTCCCAGGGAGCAGAGCAAAGTCAGTAAGGCCTCCCTCATGGAACCTAAAAAGGTCAAAGAGTTATCCCCTAAGGAGCAGATAAAGGTCAAAGAGAATATCCCTTCTGGCTCAATGGAGACTCAGACCATAGCCACCCAGGATCCCAACTGTGTGGAGGACCCAGACTTAATAAATCAGACAAAGATGGCCCTGGACTACTGTGGGGAATCCTGGGGCTCTATCTGCAAATTCTTCATCGCCATGGTCCAGAGCAATTCATGCTAATGAGTCAAAAGAGAACAGAGTCCCTTAGGAGGTGCTATGTCAAAGCCCTTCAGTATGCTGTAAAGCTCTCTAAGTAAAATGAACATTTGTGCTATGAGAGTGCAGTGGAATATTTAAACAGATTTTATAACTTTTGTTTTTGTGTTTTGGAATTTGCTTTATATTCATTTCCTTAAATTTTATTTTCAGAGGTTGTTTACCTCAGTATATGTTTCCATGACCCATGAAGTTATGTGTATATGAGCAGTGAGGACCATTCTTTGAGCTGAATGAGCCAGAGCGATGATTCCAGTGCAATGTACTTTCTGCTGAATTAACAAAGTTAATAAAGCTCTGGGTATTTTTCAGAAATATGTTCAACCATTTTTGTTTCTTTATGTTTACTTTCATTTAACTCATAAACAGTCCCCAAATATCAGTGTAAAAAATATCTAAGTAATGACCCATCCTAAGTCATCCCCAAATGTAACCCATTCCAGAATCCCTATCTTTATCCTTTCATCCATTGGTCTGTGGTGTTTGATGCTTACTACACTGTAATAATTAGGATCCCTGATTTCAAGTGGGATAAATAAGGCATGGTGTGATTAAAAACACAAATCACGGTCTCACAGATGGTAAGAGGGGAGGAAGATTTGAACCCAGAAGGTCTGTAAAGCCAAGTCCACAAGCCAGAGGAACACCTTCCATTGACTCAGGTCGGAGCTGGGCATCACTTCTTGCTATAGGGGAGACCCCTGATTTTGAGGGGTTCATTTCTGGCCTTGGGGAGAGGGGCTTGGTTAAGTATAGTGTTCTGTGATGAAAACCCCATGGAAACAGGAAAAGCCAGTCTGGAAAACCAGAGAGAGGAGGTGGAAGCTGCTGGAAGAATTCTGGTTGAACTTCATGGAGGAGGTATTACTGGAGATGGATTTTGGAAAGAGTATCCTTAGGTAGGAAATGGGACATAATGAAGACACTTTGGGCAGATGACAACATATGTGAATGCAAAGAGATGTGAAAATCTGAGAAGCTGGGAGAGGCCAGGTGGCTGGAATTTGATGGGATATAGGGATGATGCTACTGTTAGTCATTTATGTATTAGTAAGAAGGATCTGAAAGTGCTTTTATTCAAGAGTTGGGAGAGAGGAAGTCGTGCCCTTGATGCTTTGTCACAATTTCACTAAGAGCAAAAAGTGAAGAGCAAAAGATGATTAAAAAAAGACAAAAAAACAAAAACAAAAAAACAAAACACTGTAGAGTCTCTGTCAGGTGCAAGGAGGAATGGCAGGTGGGGTGGAAGAGTAGCCATTTACACTCACTCACCAAATTACCAGGACCTACACTGAGGATTGTCAGTGGCCAATCCAGAGTGTGTCATTATTCACATAATCAACATTAACATTTATCTCCCAATTGCCATGTGCCAGGCACTGTGCTAAGCTCTTTCCTCTGCATGCATTCATTCATTCACTCATTCATTCAACATATAATGTATTAAGCACTGATTCTGCCAGAATCTGTTCTAGGTGCTGGAGATACAGAAGTCCACAGCAGATGAGATACAGATGCTCTGCTCCCATGGAACTACCAGTAGGGAAAGTGATGAATTAATCACAAACGTACAAGAGATAGAGAGGGAAAGTAAAGAAGAAGAAAGGGATAACAGTGATGAAGGGTAACCAGTCTTGGATCAGATGGTCAGGAGAGGCTTCTTTCTGGAGATGACTTTTGAGTCTCGATGTGTATGAAGTAAGGAATCAAGCCTGGTAACTCTGTGGAGTAAGGATGTTCCAAGCAAAGGGTGCAAATGCCCTGAAATGAGTTTGTTGCCTACTCTGAGCTCCCACTATATGTCAGACATTGTTCTAGGGCTAGAAAATGGCAGCAAACAAAAAGAAAAAAATCCCTCTTCTCATGGTGTTTATATTCCAATGACTGGCTCATGCTTGGCATGCTCAGGAACATCAAAGTTTGCAGAACCATTGTAGGACAGGGCCCAGGACCTGATTTGTGAAACTTACCCCCATTTGCAAGAGAACTAAACCAACATTTCAGTCCATCCCAAGCTTCTCCTAGCCACCCCATGTGAGGGACATTTTCCCTTAAAGTCTACACAGATTGTGAGCCCTCTGGATCTCCTCTACTCATACATCTCAGTTCCATGTAGTCTTGAGACAGGAAAAGACTGTTGAACACTTCCAGGGGTCATTAAATAATAACCCTGGTCTAGCCTGACTGACATAAACATTGAAGAACTGACCAAACTAGATTTGAAGACTTTTTAAGGTCATTTCCAGCTCATGAGGTGGAGGTTTTTCTAGTTCACTCATGGTGTTTGGCCACTGGCAGAACTGGGAAGAGGTTTGTTTCCAACATGGCAGAGTTTCCTAGACTTGGGCTAGAGGTTTGCTTCTGCTGCTTCACACACAACATCTCTGTGCCAATTATTTAACTCCTCTGAACTCCAATGAGCTCACCTCAACAATGGGGAAGTGACACCCACCTTGAAGGGCTGCTGTAAGTCTCACATTGGTCAATAAATCTAGAGCACCTAGTGCCTCACTGCTTGCACAGAAGGTGTTCAACACAAGAGACAAAAGTCCACAGCACACGACCATTGTGGAGGGAGTTCAGAATTTCCCTATGTAAACTTTAAAAGTGTGAGGGTTTTTTTCCCTAACACAATAAGCAAAGAAGAACAATAATTATTGATAACCTAGTACATGCCAGTGGCTTTGCCCCCTTCTCTTATATAATCCCCTCAACAAACCTGTCTGGTAGGTATTATCATCCTTGTTTTCTAGATGAGGAAACTGAAGCCCAGAAAAGCTGAGCAACTTTCCAGGGTCACCAAGCATGAAGTGGCAGAGCCTGTAAGTGAGAAACCCAGGGTCTGGAGGTCCTCCAGCCCTTTCTGTGTCTGAAGCTCATGATTTTCTTCATTTGATGGAAAAAGAGTAAAATTTGTGGTTTTAGACATGGACCAAGTCATAAGGTGGACGGATGCTTCAGTCTCTTCCATATATACATCCCCTTTCAGGTCCTACAAAAAAAAAGCTCCAGAAGTTAAAGCTTTTGTTCATGCTTAGCCTTCCTTCATAGTCACATTCCAATGAATGATTGTCTATAAAACTACCTCTCATAACACCTTGGAATGTGACAGTAAAAACCAAATTTAAGAACACAACACCGATTTTACATTAGCTTCCATCCAACTTGGCATTCCATATTTTCTCTCTGGAAACTTACTGAATATGAAGTGAAGGGACCAGCTTGTGTGTGTGTTTGTGTGTGTATGTGTTTGTGTGTGTATGTGTACTTATGCTTAAGATATCGTTCCCCTTGATAGCAAGAGGCAGGAAGATTTCAGATAGGTAAGAGGTGTTTCAGGATGGCATGTCTGCATCCCCTAAAGCAGCTGAGTAATGGGATTGTCTATAAAACTACCTCTCAGAATAAAGAGGGCCTCTTCCCTGCCTGCGGCACTGTCTCTGTGTAGTAACTCACAACCACACCAGTGCCGACTTGAATCTCTGGAATCCAGCCCATCTCACCTGGCCTCCTACCCAACCATTTCTGCCCCCGCCTCCCTCCTGAATTGTTTTTGGCAGAACAAGAAAAGGAGGCCAAAGTGTTTGGAACTGACAAACACAAGGGCAGCCATCCTCTATGGTGTTGGTTCTCATAACACCACACATAGAATACTCACCTTCAAATGTCTCACTCAGAAACACTTCATGAACAATATGCAAGAAAACATTCATTAGGAGCCCTGCTAAATGAGGGATCAGGATGAAAGATGGGAGAAGATTCCAGAAAAAGGCTGTTGTAGAACCTGGTGAGTTCAAAATGGGTTCTCCAAGGGGAGTTTTCATCAGGCAGTTGGATATGTGGGAAATAACACAGCAAAGGTGGTCTCCATCTCATCTATCATGATAGCCCCAGAACTTAGGTCACAGGCCAGCATATAATAGTTCTTGAATAAATATTGGTTGAGTGAATAAAAGAGGAGAGAAATCATGGCAAGGGCAAAGATTATGCGCTTCAGAGTAAAAGAAGCTGGGTTTGAGTTTCTAGTTGTTTGATCTGAGACAAGTTATTTTTTTCTTATTCTCAGGTTCTCCATTTATAAATTAGGTCTAAGTATCCATCGAGTAAGAATGACACATGATTTAAAGTCTAAAGTGTGATCCTCACACAATGGATTTTCACTAAGATTTGGTTATAAGTGAATGAATGAATGAATGAATGAAGGAGCCAATTAGTTGAGAGAGAAGACAACGAGGAAATGTTCTAGATAGGCTACATGGGACTCAAGACACATCATGTCCAAAGGCTTTCCTGTCAAATGGAGTTTGGCTGTTCCTAATCACCTCCCAAAGACCACCTTCTGCCTAACAGCCCTGGAGGCATCCCACACTCATGGACTGGACAGAAGCACTTTCCACAAAATAGGAGGAGGTGAAGACAAAGCTGGTTCTTTAGGGCAACCTTTAAGACTTTCTTAACCTGCCTTCCAGTGACTCACCATGGCACCTCCCCTTCATCTCCCTTACATCCACAACTTGGAGTGCTGCAAGCCACCTGCTGCCTGGGTCATCTCCCTGGGGGGCACTGTTCCATATGCCATGTGCACGCCAATGACTCATACATTTACGTCTTCAGCCAGACCTCTCTCCTGACCTCCAGCCTCACTCAGCATTGCCACTTTCATATCCAAAAGGTGTCTTAAACATCATACACCTGAAACACTCCACTAATCTTTCCCCCAATTATTGCTCCTCCATGTCCTTCCCAACTTAGTTCATGGTAAAGCCATCCTTCCCATTGTTCAGGTCAGAATCGTTGTGTGGTCCTATTTGACTCCTCTCACTGAGCTCATCTAATTCATCTACAATTCCTGCCATCCCCACCTTCAAGAACATATTCCAAAATATGACATTTTGCCACTTGATCACCGCCAGCCTGGTCCAAGCCCAAGCCTATCCTCCTGGATTATTGCAGTAGTGTCCTAAGTTTCTCCCTGCTGCTGGCCTTGCCTCCTAGAGTCTGTTCTAGCACAGCATCAGAGACATCCTTCCAAAGTATGAGTAGGGGCATCCTACTTCTCTGCTAAAAGCTGTCCAGTGGCTCCCCATCTCACTCAGAGTAAATGCCAAAAATTGTTGCAGAGCCTTAGAGCACCCTATGTGAGCC